AGCCAGCTAGCTAGCCAGCCAGCTAGCTAGCTAGCTAGCTGGCTAGCTAGCTGGTAGATGGCCCGCTGGCTAGCTAGCTAGCTAGCTAGCCTAGCTAGCTAGCCAGTTCGCAGGCTCTTGACTTCCAGCAATTCAAACAGATGGCTAGCTAGCTAGCCAACTAGCTAGCTAGCCAGCTAGCCAACTAGCTTTTTAGCCAGCTAGCTAGCTAGCCAGCTAGCTAGCTAGCTAGCTAGCTAGCTGGCTAGTTGGGTAGCTAGCTGGCAGTTAGCAGGTTCACCTCGAGTCCAGCTAGTGGGCAATATCTGGTGGACTGGTGGCTGCAGAGGCCACTTGAAAAGGCGTTGTAGGGTTTAGGGTTTAGGGTGTAGGGTTTAGGGTTTAGGGTTTGGGGTTTATGTGTTGCTGCAGATGATGCGCGAGCTGCTGGTGCAGCCAGATGTGCAGCTGTACTTTGACCTCTTCAAGGTCCCTAACGAATCTTTCATTTCTGAAGAAGGTGCTGCTGCTGCTGCTGCTGCTGCTGCTGCTGCTGCTGCTGCAGCTTTTGCTGCTGCTGCTTCTGCTGCTGCTGCTGCTATTACTACTACTACTACTGCATTATTGCTGGTGGGGCTGCAGCGAGTGCTACTGCTGTAGCTACTGCTGCTGCTGCGACTGCTGCTGCTACTGCTGCTACTGCTGCTGGCACAGCAAATGCCGCTGCTGCAGCAACTGCTGCTGCTGCTGCTGCTGCTGCTGCTGTATGTTTAGGGTACGTTCGTTTTCTGAAGGAGGTGCAGGGTGTCGATACACCCGAGGCGTTGGAAGAAGAACTGGAGTTTTTCAGAAATGCAAATGACTCCTACAAACAAACCAGACAGGTGTCTAGGGTTTAGGGTTTAGGGTTTAGGGTTTAGGGTTTGTCTTACTTTCTTCTTTGCGGCTGTGTCTAGAGTCTAAAGCCATGCCTCACCCCAAGGTTTAGGGTTTAGGGTTTAGGGTTTAGGGTTTAGGGTTTGTGGCGCAGGGTTTGGGGGTGTGTCTGACGCTGCTGGGGTTTAACGCGCTGCTGTGTTCTGCTGCCAACCACCTCATGAGTGTAAAAAGACAAAAAGTCCATCAGCCACTTTCTTATCCTCTTTCGGACTACTGGATAAACTCTTCGCACAACACTTACCTCTGCGGCGACCAGGTCTGCTGCTGCTGCTGCTGCTGCTGCTGCTGCTGCTGCTGCTGCGCTGCTGCAGCTGCTCCTGCTGTTGCTGCTGCTGTGCCGCTGCTGCTGCTGCTGTTGCTGCTGCTGCGCTGCGGCTGCTGCTGTGCTGCTGCTGCTGTGCTGCTGGTGGTGCTGCTGCTGCGCTGCTGCCGGTGCTGCTGCGCTGCTACTGCTGCTGCTGCTGCTGGACTAAAAACCGCGTTTCTGTGCGAATTTGGGGTCTTTTGGGGCCGCTTTTTCTGCGCCAGCGTCCACTGCTGCTGCTGCTGCTGCTGCTGCTGCTGCAGGTGGTGGGGCGGAGCGCAGTGGGCCAGTACATCGACTTGCTGCTGTCGGGCTGCCGCTGCGTCGAACTCGACTGCTGGAATGGCCCCGAAGGCGAGCCCGTCCTCTTCCACGGCCTCGGCGGCTACCAGCTGTCCACGCGCATTCCCTTCAGAGACGTCATCAGGGCCTGCAAAGACTACGGATTTCAGGTAATTTCGAGTCCTTTTTGCTGCTTTTTGGGCCGTTTGAAGGCATTTTTGAAAGCAGTTAAAGAGTATTCAGAAGGGGCTGCTAGATTCTGAAAAACCGGGGGATTTCGGGTACTTTTTAGTCTTCATTTGGGGACTTGCGGCCATTTTATGGTAGCCTTTTGGGGCAAAAGACTACGGATTTCAGGTAATTTTAAGTCCCTTTCTGCTGCTTTTTGGACCAGTTAAAGGCATTTTTAAAAGCAATTAAGTAGTATTTAGAGAGGGTTATTAACGCCTGAAAAAAACCAGGGATTTTGAGCAGTTTGATGTGTTATTTTCGCGACTTAGAATGGTACCCTTGGGGGCCCTTCAGAGACGTCACCAGGGCCTGCAAAGACTACGGATTTCAGGCTTTTTAGTGCCATTTTCGCTGCTTTTTGGGCCATTTAAAAGCATTTTTAAAAGCAATTTGAGAGTATTTAAAAAGGGCTTCTGGAATCTGAAAAAACCGGGGATTTCGGGTACTTTTTAGTCTTCGTTTGGGGATTTCAGGCCACATAATGGTGGCTTTGGGGGGCATTTAGGGCCTCCAGGGTCTGCAAAGATTACGGATTTTGGGGAATTTAATGCCATTTTTGCTGCTTTTTTGACCACTTAATGGCATTTTCAAAAGCAATTAAAGAGTATTTAAAAGGGGTTTTTAAATTCCGGAAAAAATGAGGAAATTTGGGTACTTTTTAGCCTCAATTTGGGAATTTTAGGCCCCCAGGGGGACTGGGGGCCCTGGGGTAAGTGGTTGGGGGGCAGCAGAATGTGTGGGGTGTTAGGGAAGTGAGGAGGGAAGCAAATAATTGCTGCTGCTGCTGCTGCTGTTGCTGCTGCTGCTGCTGCTGCTGCTGTTGCTGCTGCAGCGCTCGAAGCTGCCGATAATCCTGTCTTTGGAAATGCACTGCACGACAAGTCAGAAGGCGAAAATAACAGAAATTATAAATGAAATCCTCGGGGACTCTGTCTACAGATGCAGTAAGCAGCAGCAGCAGCAGCAGCAGCACGAAGTTGCAGCAGCAGCAGCAGGAAGTTGTGGCAGCAGCAGCAGGAAGTTGTAGCAGCAGCAGCAGGGAGTTGTAGCAGCAGCAGCAGGAAGTTTTAGCAGCAGCAGCAGGAAGTTTTAGCAGCAGCAGGAAGTTGCAGCAGCAGCAGCAGCAGGACGTTTTAGCAGCAGCAGCAGCAGCAGCCGCAAAAGCAGCAGCAAACACTGAAGTAAGCGGGCAGGCGGGCGAGCGGCTTGCAGTATAAGTGTCTTCTGATCTAGGGTTTAGGGTTTAGGGTTTAGGGTTTAGGGTCTGCGTTGCAGGCCCCACGACCCCGCTGCCGGCCCCTGGAAGTCTGTTGTGTTGCTTTCTAATT